CCCCCCCTCCTCTTTTTTTTATATAAACAACTAAACGTCTAAAACAGACAATAGTAGATTTTCATGATGAAAAAGGTTGTGTATCTCTTATTATCTATATTGAAAGAACTTATATTTTAATTCATTTACACGATACTCACTACACTATGCTTTCAGTTTAAAAAATAAATAAACAGCAATATTGCAATGTCTAGCAAACGACAATAGTGTAAGTAAAAATGCTACCTTGAAACGATTAAGCGTGACAAGAAAATTTTGTCTTAGCCGCGTATGATGTCTGATGAATATCACCTGCTTCGACCATATAGTATATTACAGATGTTACGATAGCTCAAAAACAAGCTTTTAGGTCTTTTGTTTGTTGTACACTCACCAGATGTTTTGACTGGAAATCAACTGCTGAGCAGAATAGAAAATTCGAAAACTATTATCAATACCACCGAAAAATAGAAAGAAAGAGAACTTTACACGAGTACATACAGCTTATATATAGCTAAACACAAGAAAAGAAAAGAAAAGAAATGGGTTTTGGTATCACTGGTCGACGTTCTTGTGGGTATGCTTGCAAGATTCTTGTTTCTTGGCGTTTCAGACAAGAATCTTGTAAAATATTTTACATGTATCTTTATTAAGAATTACAAGACAAGATTCTTGCAGGAAAAAATGAGACAAGAATCTTGCAGAAAATGGCTTTCTTGTGAGTTCATACAAGAATCGCGAGATAGATTCTTGTCTGACTTCACAAGAAAGATATTTCCTGCGGGATTCTTGTCTGCAAACACCTTGCGTCGACGTTCAAGATAACGCTACAGGATCCTTGTCTACCGATACAAGATAGTGATTACAGACAAGATTCTTATAGAGGAGACTATGGGCTAGTCGATTGTCTGTAAAGCCAAGGAACAAGATTCTTGTCTGTGGAATCACAAGTTTCTCAATTAGTGATGCATAAATCTATTTTTCTTCTTTTCTTTTCATATATAAAGGAGCTATAGACGCTTTGACACTAATACAGACACATATAGAGATGTAAGCCAATAAAAAAAACAGTAGCGGCTGGCTGCGTATTCCTCGAAAATTTTCGCCGCCTTCGGCTGGCTGGTCCTTCAAAACGAAAAATAATGCAAAAGTTATAAAAGTACTGTTTTATTTCATTATATTCAGTGTGATCACAGCTAACTATTATCTAATTTCATATCAAAAAACAAAACAAGCGACACTGAGAAAAAAACACGTAGAACTAAGACGCACACGCACACAATAACAAGAATAACGACAAAAAGGCTAATACGAAAATGTTACCAGTACTCCTTCTTGTAGAAACAAAAGAGGGCTGCCGGCTGGACCCATCGAGCTTTTCGCCGCTATCGGCGGCGGCGCCTCAAAATCTCGTATTCGGCGCGGTTTAGCCGATCGGTTTACATCTCTTTGGCATGTAAACACTCAGTTGTCTCTCGACAAGAATCTTACAAGGTTTAAAAGACTTTTTAAACATCTATGTATAGCCTATTGAGTTATATTATGAAACTTATATACAGCACGAGAATCGATAAAACAAATTGGTGTCAATGAAGCTTGCCATTTCACACAAGAATGTTCAACAAAAAAAATTAAAAATTAATAAAAAATTAAAAGTAGAATCTTATTTAATCTTATCAAGACAAATTTGAAGATTCTCGTCTGAAATGGCAAGAGACAAGAATCTTGCAAGACTACGCACAAGAGCATTAACCAGTGTATGTGTGTACAGGTTCTTTTTTGCACTGTCATCGTTATAGATATGCACCGATCCACTCTCTTGTCGATATTCTGGTAAGATTCTTGGCGCCTGGCAATTTAAACAAGAATTTCTAAATTTGTCCTGATGGTTCAAACAAGATTCTTGTTTTAAGTTTTTACTGATTTTTCAATATTACGGGCGTACAAAGAAATTCTTTTAAATTTCATGTGATTCTTATCAAAAGACAAGATTCTTGACTAAAATACCAGAAACAGACACGAAAGTCGATCAGTGAGATTTTGTGTGAGAAGAAAAAAATATAATGCAGATAAGCTAGAATGACAATGAATAGACTAAATCGTTTAGCCGATAATAACGGCTAAAAGAAGGATAAGTAAAACGTTTGCCGAAAATAAGAAAACAGTGTAGAGGAACAATATGGACGGTAGAAAATAAAGAAATTAATTCAGAGAGTGTCTAGCAAACTTTGTGGATTTCTGTCGAATTTTTTTGTTAGTTTTGTATGAAACAAAGGGATATGATGTTGGACGGCGCCTAGAGTTCTTCCCAGGATCTGTAGAAAACTTTTATATTTCTCTACATTTGTAAGTTGATTTCAATTCAAAGCGTTAGGGACGCATTGTATTCAATGTCTGGGAATTTCTATGGCCCTGAGAGCTTTTTCAGTTTCTGTGCAGTTTGAAAAAGTTTCATATCAAAACATCCGTATTAGGATATTTCACAGCTTTATAACGTATTAAGGGAATTTTATTGTTCATATTGGACACGTGGGCATTGCGATCTACTGCAATGCATGATGTTCTCGAGTAAAACATGATGCATGGGTCCAACGTATTTACATGTAGATTTTGCTTTGATTTCATAGTTAAGAGAAAGTATAAAACATATTCTGAAACTTATTTATTTATTCAGAAATCCGCTAACTATAAATGGGTATAATGGCAGTTCTTGGATACAATCCTAAGCCACACCTACTTAATGCTCGATTTTGTCATCTTTTTTCTATGAAATAATACCTTCGGAATGACAAAACATTCTGAGCTTATAAATTTTGTTTCACTGCAAATTTTCAGCTCGGGGAAAATGGTCGAAAATATTTTTTTAACTTGAAAAGGACTAAAAACATGTGTTTTTACTAAAATCCATTAAAACAACAAAAAATGATGAAGGAGATTGTTCGAGAGCTCGGAATTTTGTGGACATATGAAGTTTCATCTGCTCTATCGAATGAACTTTGAATGAAAGTCTAATATTTTTTCGTTAAGTTAAAAAATGGATTTTAATTTTGTCGAAATTTCATTAGAACGCGCATATCTCCCCGAGAAAATGTTTCCCTAGAGATCAAATCTTATATAAGATTCCTATCTTACAGAATCAGATAAGACTCCTATAGAAATCTTATAAGAATCTTATGCTACAGTCGATAGAAATGCATACTATATTCCTATAAAAATTTATGCGATTCTTACAGTCAAAAAAAAGAAAAAAAGAAAACTTTTTTTTTGTTGCCTGGAGGACGAGAGCAAAGTTTTCAACTTTGAAATTTTTGAACATTTTTTATAAGGCACTATAAGATTATAAGAATCTTATAAGAAAATTATAAAACTAAAACCTTGCCGAAATCTTATTCAATTCTTATAAGATTCTTATATTACGAATTATAAGAATCTTATAATTACAGTATGCATTTCTCTCGACTGGAGCATATAAGATTTCTATAAGATTCTTATCTGATTTCCGTACTTTCGATCGTCTGGGGTTCTGCCTCCTGAAGCATTGCAATGCAGATATAATGCAAACACATGATATCACGTGATAGAAGCTCACGATAGAAGCTGCAGAAAAAATTGCGATCTTTTCTTTTACATATTATATATTACCAAAGCCTTGTTATTCAAAATAAACCTTATTTTCAGTAACTTATTTCGTTCGAGGAAGCTAGACGCAAACGTTAGGCACATGCTTGCGCACTTTAAGCCTACATTAACTAATATGTTTATTGATCAATATGTTTGTGTAGATAGATGATGGTGAAAAGGATTGAAGTAAAAAAACCTGGAAATGATACTTATTTGGTAGTTAGAAGTTACTTGCCAATAATATGTTACAACAAAACCTTTACCGTGCTGATCAACTGTTGCTACTCAGGACGGTAAAAACGGTCTCATCCATTGCCTATCAAATATTCATCCAATATTTGTTAAATGGACATTTGAATTTGTAGTCGTTAAACTGGAAACGTTTTAATATCTATAAGTGACAGTTTTTTACCATTAGAAAATAAACACTTTATGATATAGGCTATTATGTTCCATTGTGAATCGTTACAACCTATTTTTCGAACGTTTTCTAAAGTGAATTGTGTTCTGACTGATAATGTCACAAAGCTTGGCAAAATGAGCACTTTTTTAACAGGTTTAAAGTCAATTTTTTAGCCATACAGTTAATAGGTAATGCATGAGTTATTAAATGTCAATCTTCATTGACCTGATATTTATTCCAGGAAAACGTTCCTTTTCATTGATTCCTTAAACACCTCACAAGACACATTTTAGATAAATTATGTGGAAGTCCGGCTGACACTGGGCAACTGTCATCGTCTAGCGGCGGCATAGGCGACTGAACGTTGTGAAAATGAGTGAGGCTCAAAAAATTTTCTTCTTTTCTGCCCATCAAATTTTTACCGAAGCTTCATACAGAATGAACGCTTATTTTGGACACGGATAGCACAACAAGTAAATCAATAAAAGCAGAAATTACCTAAAAAGCACTGAAAAACAGTATACCAAAGAGTATTTCTGTTATTAATAATGGGATATTCATAAAATTAGTATTACTTTCCAGTAAAATAATACTAACAAAATAGCACAACAACAGTAATATCAACAAAATTCAAACACGGCTATGACAATAGTTATCAACGAAATAAATTTGCAACATCATTTCATGCAGCATTATAATATCGGTCCTTTTGTACAAAATCTGCCAGTTGGGCATATGCGAAGGTATAAAAAACACTTTTTAGTATTACTCTTACTAGTAATAGGAATCTGTTTAGTATTACTTTCCGCGGTAACGTAATACATGAGTAACAATAATATGACACCCCTGCTGTAATAACAAAATTATCCATATATTCTGTGATTCTAAGTTTCTAAGTTGAATCAGTTTCCTCTAAAGTTTGAACGAACAACGATATAGTATCATATCAACGTGAAGAAAAAAAAGATAGTTCATTTAGAGCCGCGAAAAAGTGCTTTTTCGTATTCAATACACTTGATATATCAGACGATTTTGTGAGCGATTTTCTATAAGCGCTGATTTTTGTCATAATTTAAACATTGGTTAAGTGGTGGATTTAAGTAGCTTGTGATTCTCTACACGTAGTTTATTAGGAAAAGTATTTACATTCACTTTTTATCATTTCATCCTTCCAACAAGATTGCAGAAAAATTTTTTGTTTTTTGAAAATCACTACTGTGTTTTACCACTGACGTTGGATTGCATTGAACCTTTTGGCTTTGTTGAAAAAAGGGCTGGTGATTGTGCCAATTTAATGTCTGTTCCTGCTGTCGATGTTGTCTCATCAGCTGCCACGGACATTACTGGAATCTCATCTTTCTTTTTCTTTCGAGAAACACACAAGAGTACCAACAGACCAGTGATAACCACAAAACCCAAAAAGGTCATAATGGAACCAACTACAATGCCAGCAATATCTACAGGTACCTTTGCTGTAGGAGCTGGATTAATAATCATTGTCGTCGTAAAGTTTGAAGTTTCATTTGAGATACCTTCTGCGGTACCATAAGCTTGTGTCGCCATTGTTAGTAGAGAAACTGGAATTAAAAGCAAAAGTCTTAGGTTTTCTCCATTGAGCAAAAGTAAATTTGTTTCTTAGGGAGCATTTCAAAATTCTTGTCATTTGCTTTACCTTTCTACCGTTCTGTCGCGGCATAACGGGTTCATTTTAATGAAATTTCGATATATTATCGGTTTCTTTTAATCTATGTATACGTATACATGAAATTTATTTTGGTAAATAAATTTATTGAAATTCTCCTTACAATTTACGATTAAATGCATAAATAGGAAAAAATATAATAATGTTCGTCTTATTTGTATATATAGAATATTGTAGTATATAAGCATTTCTCAACTATTCCCAAATATAAAAGAAGACAATATCATGGTAGGTCAGTATTATGTTTTATTGTTAGCGTATGTCTTTTGATCAATACTATTCAGTTAAGCAACAAATATCTGTGTTTGTTTTGGGAGAATACAATCTAATATTTCTTTTATAAGAGTAAGAAAGTACAGCAAGCAAACATGCAGAGAGCTATGCTTCGGGAGCGTTTCAAAATATATTCCGATCGGTCGATCACTGTTGCCCTATTCCTTTATTCTTGTGTCCGTTTATTATTAAACGGATGATTATTCCTGAGATTATTCCTGTATTCCACTGTTACGTAACATTTCATTTTATAATAATTTTTATACAGATGTCTACAGGAACTTTATTTTATTTTCTAATTGATTTGATGACTTCTTCAAAGCAAACTAACAACTAACCGCTAAGCGCGTCACGTATTTACACATGCGCTAACTCATTTTATTATACTACTTTTACAAACTATTAAACATGAATAACGCCGAGGTTAAACCTCTGCGTATGTTTAAATAGTTGTCGTGTTTCTATTAAACACGCAAAATACGATATCTGGTTGACTTTGCTTATTTAATATTGCAAAAAATTATACAAAATGTTTATCCTTTATAATCATTGATTATTGTATTATATGTACGGCAGAGATACCGTATTTTGCGCGATGCTGGATAAATACGCAAAATACTAAGAAACTTTGTGCAAGTGACCGGAATTACCCATACGACTCTAATTTAGTAGAAACACAACAACTATTTAAACAT